GGGTGAGGGGCGGGTCGCGGCAGTGCAGACCTCCAAAGGCCACTGCAAGGACTTGGGCTTTGCTCTGAGCGGGACAGGGAGCCAGAGCAGTGTTTTGAGCAGAGAAGTAACATGAGCTGAGTTCTATTTCAAATCCACGTCAAGGTCACTCTGGCTGCTGCCTGACGCAAACACGAGAGGCGGGAGGAGGGCCCGAGGGAGGGGGCAGTAAGCTGGCTCGGAGGGGTGGTTGTGATGCAGCGGGGAAAGTGGTCAGGGTCTAGATGTGTACGCTACAGGCAGGAACCGAAAGGCCGGCTGCAGCGTGTGACGGTGGAGTCCAGGCTGATGCTCCGAGTTTGTGGCCTGGAAATCTGAAAGCATGCAGCTGCCATCCACCAAGATGCACAGGCCTCTGAAAGGGACAGGAGCCCAGGGGACAGATGTGGAGAGCCAAGGAAACTGAGTAGTCATGCCTGCAGCCACTGCTGAGGGCCCGTCAAAAAACAAAAAAGAAAGGTCACGACCAAGTTCTGAGTAATGACCAGTCTGAGTAATGACTTAAGTGAAAAACGAATGGTTTCGAGTTACAGCGAAATCAGTTAAAGAAATCACTCTAGATTTCCGGGTCCTTAATGATCAGTTACGGCGCTGAGAGCATCAGATTCCTTTTATGAGCGAGAAGGAGCCCACAGGCATGAGCCCACTGCCTCGTACCCTGCAATGGGAACTCCCCTTAAATAAAATCAAGGTCATTTCAAAATACAGCTTGCAGAAGAACAGTAAACTGAGGAGAGCCCACAAAGGGTTTCCAACTAGTTTTATTTTAGTTTCCAATATTATCGGCAATGATACAGGAGTAATTCAGGCAAATACATCACCTTAAATACATCAGAGAAAAAACTTGCTGTGTCAAGCGTGTCTTGCTCTCCAGCAAGTGAACATAAAAACAGAGAACAAAGTCAGCAGCATTAAATAAAAGTGTTTTCTGCCACAGCTCTTTCAGAAAGAGTCTCTCTCTCAGTGGTATACATTGCATCCTACTTATTGCATAAGAAGCTCAAAATTTCATTCATTGCCCAGGAGCTACAATCAAAAAAATTCATGTTCAGTTATTCTAAATGATTTTTTCCCCTCAAAAGCACAAAATTCATTGGAATTGTGTGACACTGACTTCTCTGGCACACTGTGAGGTGACCACCTCCCAGGCCTGGTAAACTGCTCAGAAAGTCATCCAACTGCATGCCAGCCCTGGCAAAGTCCATCATTTTGTTCCAAAAAACAGGGCAGACTGAGGGTTTGGAGAACCAGCAGGTACCGGGAGAGGATGCACCTACGCAGCCACCCGCTAGAGAGCAGAGGCCACCAACTCACATCCCCGAAGCCGGAGAGCGGTGGATTCAATAGAGCAGGATAAACCCCAGCTCTGAGCCCCACCTTTCTGGGAGAGGTGCTGCTGGGATCTAGCATGTTCTCTGACTTGCACTGCAAAGGCTGCCACCCAAAAGCTGCACGCCCCAGTTAACACTGGAGACAGGAACCTTCCTCCACTTCAACCAGTAACGATCCCTCAAATCAACCACAGGAAACAGTTCTGAAAGTCAACAGGAGGCCACATGGGTACCAGTCAGAGGCTCTGGAGATTGGGGAAGGTGGGAGGTCGGGTCCTGGGGTTCCCACATTGTCTCTTGACAAACTGCAGCATCACTAGCACTACAGGCTTAGTCCAAAGGACTGGTGGCCAAGGGCAGCTTCAGCTGAGGTGGGGGTGGGGACATGTCTCTTAAGGGGCGTAGCAAGGATGCAATCGAACTAGTGGGGTGCGTTCTCAGAGCTCCCGAGCCCCTCAGAGAGGTCACGTGCAGGGCACAGGTCTGCGTCAACTCCGCATTCTCCAGCCATCCTGAGTGGGGCCCACTCCTCAGCCTGCTGCCAAAGTCCCCTTCCTTCCTCATCTTTCCTTCTACTACATTCTTTAACAACCTGGACCGAGCCGTCCTTCACCAATAATAAAACCAAACTACACAAGCCAAGGACCGAAACTAGAACAAGGGACACAATGAAGAGAAGGGAGGGACCTCCCTCGTCGTCATGGTAACAGCTGCCCCTCGGACAGCACAGGCATGGGACAGGGACACAACCCCTGCACGCCAGCTCCCCTCAGCTCTTCTCACTGCTCCAGTTGCCTCTGCAGCATCTTTCCTCCCTCTCGCGGCACAGGGCCCACCTCACCTATAACCCAAAGTGTCCGTACTGAGCCCCCAGACGTGTCTGAAAGGCTCTGCACGTGGGACAAAGCAGGAAAGCTGAAGGACCGGAGACACAAGCCACAAGACATTCTGGGATGGAACTACTGCTGATACAATCTGGGAAGAAAACCCAACCATCCCCGAAGGTGGCCCTTCTGGCAGGTGTGCTGGGGCACGAGGCACACACACGTGCTCGGGTCCGGATTCGTGTTGGCCGCAGGGGAAGCTGCCTGCCTCGTACCCTGAGAGGCTTCTGGCAGGCATTCCGCAGTGCTAGGAGATCCAAGGCCTTATCGAGCACTCAAATGACTATCAAGTGAACCTGACAAAGCAAAGAGAAGACTTAACTCCTCGGTACCATGCTGTCCACAGCTGTCGTTAGGAAAAAAAAAAAGTCTCCTTTAGGGACACGAGCCGAAAATCTTCCTGCAGGAGGAGGGGGGAAAGTAACTAGTGCTGAAGGGCTCAAAACGGTACGAGACAGTGGGTGCTTTCATTCTCACAGCGGCAGCAACGGACGGGAGCTGCACGTGGCCCTGGCGGAGTCCCACGCGGCTGGCAGCACCGCCCCTTCTCCAGGCAGGCTCTGGCTCCAGGCTGCCCACTATCTGCTGGGCTGCAGGTACTGGTGCATGAACATGTTGAGTTCACTGTCCATCCAGCCCCCTTTATTCCTGCAGAGAAATGGTGATTTTTGTAGTAGTAATAACTGATAAAGTGAGGCCCAAAGAGGTGAAACCACTTCCTACAGGCCGACGAAAGGCAGGATTTTCTGACCATCGAGCCGTGTCTGCTTTGCCCTGAGACCACCCTGAACTGGCAGGAACTCAGTTTTCCTGCCTGTCCCATTTCAGGTTCACTGTCCCAGTGGCTGACAAGCAGCAGACACCCTCCCACACACACCCTGAGAGTTCCTAGGGGAGGAGCAATGTCCCTAGAAAAACGTCTGCCTAGAGTGGTGGGCGGGAGGCGCGTCGCAGTGGGGAAGGGGAAGTCCATTTATCTGCTGAGGGGGCTGGAGCAGTGCCCTCTGATGCAGCTCCCCTGGGGTGCTGACGTCAGGAGCGGGGGCAGGAAGCACAGGGTCCCCACGTGCTGATGTTATCTCGGGCTGAGTGGGCCGAGAATTTTTGCAGAGTATTTTTACATTCGGCTCTGTGGCTGTGTCATGAAATCTGACTTCATTTTACAGATGAAAACAATGACACAGGAAAGAAAGCTCAGTGATTTGCCGAACACGAGTGCCTGGACCAGAACCCAGGACTCCTGATCCTGACTCTTTAGATCAATACTCTCTGGAGCAAACCCTGACTTTCAACAGAGATTCTGTGCAAATCTGGGTTCCAATCTGGGCTCTGCCGGTTGCTTGTACCTCACTAGCTTCCCTGTGGATAAAAATGCTGACATGCCCCACTCCCTGGGCTCAAAGAGAAGTGGAGTAAGATATGTATGCTGGGTCTAACCCGACGCACAGCAGACAATAAAGGACAATCAACGTGCAGTGACAGAGGACACCCGGATTCTTCTACTCGTAGCTTGACCATTTGCGGTGAGATTCTGAACAAGTTATTTAACCTCTGTAGGCCCCAATTTTCCTTTTTATAATATGGAAATGATGATCAGCCCTGAAAGGATGTTGAAGATTGAGTGGAACAGTTCATGTCAAGTGCCTAAGATGCTGCAGTTAAGGAAAAGGTGCCAGTGAGCTGTAACCTCACAGTCCCACGCTGTTTGTTTCTTCTGCAGCCACCGCGGCCCTAACTGCAAGAGCCCGGAGGGCAGTGACTGCATCTTACTTGGCCTCCAGCACTGGCACCGTATCTGGCACCCGGCAGGTGCTCAGCTGACTTTTAACACACGAGTGAGCTAAATCCCCACCAGAGAGGTTTGTGTCCACGCCCAAGACACAGACAAGCAGCGAAGCTCCCAATGTGCCTGCACCGCACACAAGCCAACCACCTCCCACCACCCAGGTCACGCTTACCTGAGCAACTTCGCTTTGCTCTGAAGTGAGTCAAGAACTTCAATTTTCTCATTCATAGCAGCAATTTCCTGCTCCAGGTTCTCCCGGGTGACATCGACTTGCTGGCACAAATGAGCAAAAGTCCCAGACAGTTCCCTGAGGAGAAGAGAGTTAGGACCAACCAGGTTATGTGGCTGTTTTGCAGAACACTGCTGGGAGCTAAATCTGACCCACCATGAGCAAAGTAGCAGCTGGGCCCATCTGTCACCTGCTGGTGGCTCTGCCCCTCACCAGTCCTGGTTTGGCAGAATCTCCCCAACCCACTACTGAGACCACTTACATCACGACCCCTGCACACACTTGGCATCACTTGTGTGTGAGAACCAGGCAGAGAGCAGCACGCTCAAGTTTGGGCACAAAAGACCAGAACACAAATCTTGGCTCTGCTGCTAATCAGCAGACAAGAGACAAGTGACTACTCTTAAATCTATTAAATCTCTATTTCTCTATTTTAAAAAAGCAGATGCCAAGGGGGAAAAAAGTCTACTTCTAAAGGGTTGGAGGAGAATACGAAAAATTAGACGCAAAATGCCTAGCAAAGGGCCTGCGACACAGCAGCTAGCACGTCATCCCTGTCCACCAGCTCAAGGATCCATTCCCACCCAAGATACACCATGGAGAACGGGCTGCGACTTAGAACAACAAAGCTTCATCCACAATCCAAGCCCTTCAAAGCAACCTTTAAAAAGATCCTACAAGTAATGTCACTTGTCTACCCCATCCTCCTTCCTTGGGGGACCAGACACCCACTTGGTGCCAACCAAGGACATAGGTGTCCCTGGTGAGATGGCTCTCCCCATTCCTGGCCTCAAGGTAGCAATGCATGGCTGAAGGTCAGGGTCAGAAAATGCTCAGGACCCAATGGTTCCCACACTGAGGTTAGAAGGAAACCCAGAGAGAAGTCTTGAACTGTGGGAGCCGGCGCTGGCCCCGCAAAACTGATGGGACACTCACTGCTGGACTTGGTGGCTGCAGTTGGAGCCAGTGTAGCTGATGATGAGCTGAAGCTTCTCACTGGCATATTCTACAAACTGGCGTTTGAAGGCCCTCTCCTTGGCCTTGGTGGTCCAGGTCAGCCGCTCGTAGACATAAAGGAGGCCATAGAGCCCGAAGGAGAGGGCGATGAGGCGCCAGCCTACCGCCTTCCACACCTGCAGAGGCACAGCGGTCAGCGGCACAGCCCTCTGCCTCCCACCGCCCATCCTCTCGGCAAGTCCAGTCGCTGCCAGGACTTCTGCAACAGCCCCATTCGACGAGCCTTTGTATTTCGACTCGGAACACCTCTTTCAACATCTCTTCCAATCCCACTGAGGCCAGAAGGCAAGGGCTGTCTGTAGTTTAAAAATGAGGAAAACTTGTCTACAGCCAGGCTACCCTGAACAAGCCCGATCCCGTCTGATCTCGGAAGCTAAGCAGGGTCAGGCCCGGTTAGTACTTGGATGAGAGACTACCTAGGAAGACCGGGTGCTATAGGCGTCAAAAATAAAAAATAAAGAGATTGTAAGCTGACAAGGTCCTTGCAATCTGTGAGGTCAACCAACGGTTGCCTTGCCTAAAAAAAAAAAAAAAATGACTTCAGTCAAAAGGGAGGGATTATTTCAATCAGCAGTTATGTAAGATTCCAAAAATCATTGACAATTGCTAGCCCCATTTCACTACATTGCTCTTATTATTTCTCCAAATTTGTAGGCCTTCTTTAAATTTCAAGTTTATTGCCATTCA